ACAATGTAAAAATATATATAAATAAAAATTTAAAAAAAAGAGGTGATACTTGTTCAGAGTTTTCAAGGCCAAATAAAAGCTGTTTAATACTGCAGAGTAGGTGTGTGTCATGTTTGAAGCATAGGATGTTTGAAAGGCTTGGTGAAGTTAAACAGCCTAGTCTGTATGGAAGATAACATGATACATGTTGAAATTTCTAATACATGAAGTATGTATGTTAGTATATGAATAGTAGTGGGAGAGTGAGGCTGAGATAGTAGAAGTGGGTTTTTAAGTAATCTGGGTAAAGATAAATTGACATTTATGAAAAGGGTTTTTTGTTATTTTTAATTAAAGACCTTTTTTTAAGATTTATTTTTATTTATTTATACAAGCATTGGGTACAGTGAGAAGCGCGGGAGGGTGAGAGAATTCACCAGAGCCAGAGCGGGGAGCAGAGCAGGCAGACTGACGAAACACACTGCTGAGGGGAGCAGCGGGCAGCAGGAGGGGTCTGCGCGCCATGTAGGACCCTCCTCCAGTGGCTGGGGAGCAGCCGGGGATTGAACCGGCGCTGCAGAGGCTGCGGGCAGCTTCGCAACCCAGCGCTCAACTGCCCATTTATTTTTAATTAAATGAAATCCCAAGTTATAGAAACAGTATACAAATGAAAGGCTCTGCAAAGTTATACAAAAATGTGTACATGGTCAAGTTTATAAAATGTAACTATTTTTGTTTCCTTTTCCCTCCACCTTCCATTACTGTATGAGAATCAATAATAGCAGAAAATTTTATTCACTGAAATAGGTTTGCCTAACTAAGATCAGAAATTAGTTTCATTGATTTCTCTTAAAATGGTATATTCATTATCTGGATAAAACTTTTACTGATGAAATGGTAACATGTCTTAGGGAATGAATATGTCGGTAGTGCAAAACTCTTGAGGTGTAGATGATTTGTCATGACCTCAGAAATTAAAAATGTTACTGCTAGCAAATGAAATGGTAACTGTCATCTGCTTCAAAATGTGAATTCTGGGAGTTTCTTTTGAATATCAATTACCACCTTTTTTGTGTGTCACTTTAATATTTTAGCAAAAGTAATATATTGTTACATACATATTGAAATATAAACTATATTATTACATGGATATTGTAATATGGACTACGGTAGGACAATGGATATGAGTAAAAACTTCATTACCCTAGTTCATAAATCTCCAATTTCCTTTCTATAGAGGTGAATTTTCTGTATGCATATGTGAATGCTTATATCATATGTAAGTATAACAACATTTTAGGGAGCATGTCCCCCACTTTTCCAATAATATTAATAGTAAATCTCTTTGTGTTTATATGTGTAGACACTGTACCCAGTTTCCTCTATTGTTAATATTTATATTCTTATATTTGTTACAATTAAGGAACCAGTGTTAATACATCAATTTAAGATTAGTTTAAGATTTCCTTAGTTTTTACATAATGTCATTTTTCTGTTCTATGATACCATTTAGAATGCCACATTATATTTAGATATTATGTCTCTTTAGTCTTCTTTTGACTATGGTAATTTCTCAGATTTTTTTTTTGGTATGTGACCCTGACAATTTTGAGGATCACTGAGTGGGACATTTTATTTTGATCACTTACTATTGAAATTTTCTAATGTTTATCTCATAATAATCTGGGGCTATAGGTTATTGGAGAAATACCACAGTGTCATTTCCATCACATCATATCAAAGGTACATGTCATCTACGTGATTTGTTACTTGTTACTAACATTGATCACCTGACCTAGCATTTTTCAGTTTTCTCTAATATAAAGTGACTGTTTTTTCCCCCTTTTCGTGCTGTGTTCTTTAGTAAGAGCTCGCTAAGCACATCCCCACACCTAAGAAGGGGGAGATTTTTATTCTCCTCTTTAATTATTCTTCTCCTCCTTAAAGGCAGAGTATCTACATGTAGTTTTTGGATTTATTTTATAAAAGACATTGTCTCTTCTCTCTTTATTAACCTACTTAGTCATTTATATCAGTGTGACTTGTGCATACTTATACTTGGGGTTATGATCTAATACTACTTTATTTTATTGCTCAAACTGCTCCAGCTTTGGCCATTGGAGCTCTGTCAGTTCTTGTGCTCCTTTGACATAACCCCCAGTAATGTGGGCATTTTTGTTTGTTTGATTGCTTCTGAGCATGTCTTTATTCTCAGGCTTGTAGATTATTTTCAGTTTCTTGGTCAGAAACCTTATCTTTTGTTTGTTCTCATGCACACACAGAATTTTTTTTCATAGATTTAATTCCTAGAAATAGTATTGCTGAATCAAATTGGGTGTCTGTGTCCTCACTTTGAACATATCAGCTGCTGACTTCCCAAAAGCTTGCACAAATTCATATTTTCACCAGAAATGTGATGGTGTATATTGGACAATGACCCTTGTTTCAGTACTTAGTTTTAACAGATTGAGTCTTCTTTCCAGTTTGATAGGTGAAATTGGTGTGTTTATTACATTTTGTTATGATGAGGTTTGAACATCTTTCTATATTTTTATTGGCCATTTGTATGACCATCTGTTCATGCTCCTTTCCTTTTTTTCTGTTTGAATGTTTATCTTTTTAAATTGGCTTCCAAAAGATATTTATATTTTCAACAAAAACAAATTAGCCCTCTGTCATTTAGTAAACAAGAGATATTCTTTTTCACTTGGTTGTTTTTAAATAGTATAAAAGTTACTTTGTTATATAACAAAATTGACATTATTTTCCTAAACAGCTTATAGTTATCTTATTTGACGGTATGAGAATAAGGATGAAACTTGCCATAATCATTGTTTTATGCTAGGTACTCATCCCCTTCCCCCACTCCTTCCCCGAATCTTCCAAACAAAAGAGTATTTCTCTTTTTTCTAATCCACACCTACTTTGCTGTTATTATAGTAGTACCCCCTTGTCTATTATTCAAGGTTATTATCCTTATTCTAATTTATTAATTAAACTATCTTGAGTTTGTATGTATAGGAAAAAACATAGTATAAGGTAAGGTTCAGTCCTATCTGTAGCTTCAGGTATCTACTTGATACCTGAATCAGGGGTCTTGAGCTGTATCCCCTGAGATAAGGGGGTACTCTAGTGTTCCTGTTTCTGGCACACACCTAAGAGAAAAAGTGTTTATTTTGATTATTTTCCCCTAATCTAAGTCTAGAAAATCCAATTCTGGGGAAAACACCATGCTACCTTGATACCTTCCTGAATATCTTACTGGATTTTCTGATATGCTGCTTTGCATACCATCAAATTTTTAGAATCATATCATGATTCTATTTAACACTGTAGCCTCAAGCAGTTATGTTTCCTTGACCTTAAAAATCATCTGGCCTATGATCGAACCATCTTAGCAGCATCTATTTTCCAAATGTAAAATGAAGTTATCCCAGCTCCTGTTGAATTGTTAAGTATGATCAAAATTTTCTCATTAAACTTCTTACTCAAAAGTAGTTTTAGAGTGGAGTTGATAAAGGAATGGTTATCTCAGCAGTTAGAGAGCAGTTTCATAAAAATGATAAGGAGGAAAATTGAACCATTGTGAGAAATACTTGCTAGATTGTAAATTGTACTTTATGTCAGTATGACACAGAACCGAGTATATGCTAGAAAACATGCAGCAAACTTTTTCATAGATGTTTGGTTTTGTGGGCTATGTGATGTCACAACTTCCCAACTATGCTGTTGTAGCCCAGAAGTAGCCATAAATAATACTTAAAGTGAATGAGCCTTGCTGTATTCTGGTTTAAGACTTTATTTGTAAAAACATTCATCGGGCCTTTGCTGTTGCTTCCTTACCCTGGTGTTAGTGAGTAAGGGTTATGATAGATGGTAGAATTTATGTTGATTATGGAGGGGAGAGAGGATAACATGAAAGTGAGGATCTGTGGAAAGGTAGTAAAGGTCACTGACATGCTATCTCACTGAACTATTTTCTCTCTTCCTGAAATGCTCTTTCATACTCAATTTAGATGTCATCTCTCTTATAATTACATGCTTACTTCCTCTGTGGTGGCTACTGACATATAGAAAATGCTCAGTAAATGCTAAAAATTGAAATTTTCTACTTCAGTCTGCTAGGTAAGATGATTTCAAATTGGGAAGATTGTGAAAGTTTGTTTACCTGCAGTTTTTCCCACTCAGCTTATTCTAGACTTGAATACAGTGATTCTCAACTTTGTTTTCTGCTTCAGTTTGCCTATCTGATATTGTTCACATGAGCAGGGTAAGGGTAGTGCTCTGTTCCTCTTTCCTACTTGGTACTTAGTTGGAATTCCCTTCTTTCTCTCCACTGATCTTGGATTGGTGTCTTTGTGCTGCTGAGAATGGATGTTTAAACATATGACCTGCAGTAAACTTGTGAGTATGGTAACTCGCTGCCTTCTAAGTTTTTCTTTTTCTTTCAGTTAATTGTAGAAGACAAGTGGTGGTCCTATTTATAGACTGTCAGAGAACCATAGAATCTTTTTGTCAAGGTTAGAGAAATTTTGCATAATACCTAGTCCAGCTTTTCATATTACAGTTAGAAAACTGAAGCATAGAGAGACTAAGTGATTTGCATACATCAATTAGTAGCAGAGATAGGGCTAGAACTTCACATTTATTTGGCCCCTAATTCAGTACTCATCCTACTGCCATCATACATTTTCTGATAAGAAAGAATTGATTTTCAAACTAGAAAATGTGAAATTTTACGACAGGTTATATCCACTAAAATAATTGTAGCCAAAACACTAATTTAAGTATGATTGGAACTCCTTAATGGTGTTGAAATGGCTATATTTTTTCATCAAATTTTTAGTAAAAAGGTGTAGTAGATTGTTTTACTATTACAGTTGTATTAATGACTTGTTTAATTAAATTGAACACATGAATCTAAAAATCTGAATAAGTGCATGTATAGAGAATTTAATTTGTATATTAAAAAACTACTGTCTAATCTTGTTCTTTTGTTTGTTTTTAATAAACTCTTTCAGAAAGATGAGGTCTATCTTAATCTGGTGCTGGACTATGTTCCGGAAACAGTATACAGAGTTGCCAGACAGTATAGTCGAGCCAAACAGACGCTCCCTGTGATCTATGTCAAGGTATGTAAAAATGAAGCAATTCACCAATTTAGAAAGTACTTATTATGAGCCACGGGAGAATGCTGGGTGTGTTTTAACTATTTATTGCTTGTAATACTGAGGGATGAAGAAGGTATTGTTAGTGCTTCATTAAATTCTTGTAAAATTTTAAAAGATTGCGAAGCTAAAGTTACTTACCTTTCTGACACCCAATTTCTAAAGCTAAAGTTACTTATCTTTCTCGCATCCAATTAGGAGTTTAAATTCTTTTAATTTCTGATATCTTTATGGTGCCACATGGTAAATAGCAGACATATGTAAAGTTATAAAGAATTTTTAAGTATGATCAAACTCAATGTTTTTATTGCCATGTATAGAGCTATTTATGGTGTCTGTAACTGAAGTTTAAGATTTGATAATTTTTAATAGGCATACCAAAGTGTCACTTAATTTTCAGTATGTCTATAAGTGTCATCTTGTTTATTTAATGCATGACTAAGAATTTATATAGCATAATTTTGATTAAAGTTGTGGTACATGATTAGAAACAAGTGATTTATTAACTGTGACATTGTGAGAATTAACTGGGTGTTAAGTTTCAAAGTTCAGATCTCTAAATATGTTTTTTGTAGTTTACCCTTAAATAGAAATGACTGTAGAAAATAAAATGACTTAACATCAGATTATTTCAGTTTTAACTCATTAGTTACAGTTTTACATTTTATAATAATACATGGGCAGCAAAGCCCCACTTGGGTAGCTAAATGATTTTGGCAAGGAGCCCAGGATTCCTGTTGAATTCAGCACTAAGAATTAAAAAAAATTGATTCCAGTTTAGTTTTATTTGGGCTTACAAAACTTGGTGGATGTTATGATTAAATTGATATAATGGGAACTAGAAAACACAGGTTTTTTACTATAAGTTTGCTTTAGTACTTTATTCTGGTTTTAAAATAGCAGGTTCAATTCAAGATAACCAGCAAAGTAGTTTAAATTACCTCAGTCTATATTAATCTTTGAGTTTTTTAGTTTGGAATGATGATATTATTCTACCTACCTTGTAACTCCAGTGATGCAGAGCACTGACACATTTATGAAGCAGAAAAACCCTGTATTTAATTCCTGAGGAATTAGTTTTGAGACCCAACATTGCCACTTGTTGGTAAAATTGTACTGAACAGTATAGCATTGTTGGTCTATAAGATGAACTTGACATATGATGAAATATTTTTGGGACTGTAAAATAAAAGTAATAGACAATTTTTGCACTGAATCAAAAAATGATTTGTGGATATGTGATAAGAGGTGCAAATACTAAGTTTTCGTTCTAACTCTAATTCAGCAAATAAACACTAAGTGATTATAGAATAATGTGAGTGTAATAAAATATTTCATTCTTCCTCTAATAAGAAAAATCTATGCAAATTACTATTAAAACAAAAACAGTGTTATAGAAAAGTGTTTAAAGTGTCATGTTTCTTTGAATTGGCAAAATTTCCTTGGAAAAGAGATGGCTATACAGTACCCTTGTTGAATCTACTCTCCAAATTTACTTGCCTTTTAGCAGATCTGCATTGATCCTTAGCTGTGCAACACCTGTCACTTCCTAGCATGAAATGTGCCAAATGGTTTTCTTTTCCTGTATCTGTTTGCAGAAATTTTTTGCTTATATCAAGACCCCTGTATAGACCCTAAACATTTGCTACTGAAGACTGCAAATACAAATAAAAGTAGAGAAAATAGAGTAATGAACTCCCATGTATACATCTCACAGCATCAGTAATTAATGGTCACTCTTGTGTTATCTATGCCATGTCTGCTCCCCACTTCATTTATTTTGAAGCAAATCACAGATATGGTTTTCATCTTTAAGTATTTCAGATAGATATATAAAAGATAGGGACTAAATACATAAGTGCAATATCACTGTCTTGCCTATACAAATAAATAACATTTAGTTAGTGCCTTGAATATTCAGTTACCATTATATTCCTGCTATATGTTTAATTTATTTATTTAATGTATTCATTCATTCATTTAAAGTTCCTTTGTTTAAATTGGGATCCAAGTGAGATCCATAGATTACATTATAATTGACTGATTTGCTTCTGATTTTTCTTTTAATCTATAGGTTCTTTTTTTCTCTCTCAAACTTTTAAAAAAAAACCTGGGTCATTTAATCAATAATTTCTTGGTCTGGTTTTCACAGTAGTGTTATTAATATATTCCTAAGTATTTTGCTTTGTCTAGAAATTGGTCTTTTTAGGTATATATTTATAGAAATCAAAACTATTTTGTATGTAAGATAGAATGCTTTTATAAGGAAGAACATAACATCTTCTTTTTTGTGTAGAAAACGGCTTATGACCATTAATTTATCAAGGGTTATAAACTGTTGATACTGTTACTATTCCTTTTTAATTTATACTTCCATAAAGAAAAATTTTCTTGTGTCAACTATTTGTTTCTCCTAAAGCACAGTTTATATAAGACAAGCAGTATATATATTTGATTAATTCCCTTTATTCATGAAAATTTATCATAATTAGTTGTTTCTGCAACATCTTCCAAAAGCTAACAATGTGGTATTTTGTTCCATGTTTTTGTTTTAATGTTTCTTGTGAGTTGATAATTTTTTATAACTTCCTGGCTTTCTAGCATGGATAGAGATTTAGATTCATCTTTTATATTTCTTCCATAGACTTGGAGTCAGCCTTTTCTTCAGAGACCTTATCCTTTTACTGGAAAATAGCACTTAGAGACCACAGTGTGACTGTTAGTGGTGCAAATTGCCACACTATTGATTATTGTTTCTGGGTGGTGTGGTTTTGTTTTTGTTTTTTTCTTATTTTTTTAAGGAAAATACTAGGACAAGCTAAAAAATGTATTTTTTTTTTTCAAAGATAAAATATAACACAGGTGAATTGGTGGTGGGAATTCCACGGGGACTATAACTAAGATGAGAAAGCATACATTGTACAAAAAATGAAGAATGGTGTTAAAAATAAACAAATATTACAGTGAAAGAAAAAATATATATCTTTTTTTTAATCCATAAGTTCACATTGATATTTCTAATTTAAAATTGTTGGAAGGTGGTTAAACTGTCTTACATCTGTATTTCTGTTCTTATATACTAAAAATTCCATTTTTCAGTGATAGTATAATTGTTTTATCCCACACTTTATATACAGTAATCCTAAAATAATAATCACAACACTTTACCATCAATTGAAGATAATTAAAGAACTTTTGGAGTCTCTCTTTATTTCCATGGTGTATCACATTAGGGGTGAATAAATTTTTTCAGTTGGTTTTTTTTTTTTTAAAGATTTATTGAGTGATTGATTGATTGATTTGTACATACATACATACAAGCACTGGGTACAGTCAGAAGCACGGGAGGGTGAGAGAATTCACCAGAGCCAGAGCGGGGAGCAGAGCAGGCAGAAGGACCGAAGTACACTGCTGAGGGGAGCAGCGGGCGGCAGGAGAGGTCTGCGCGCCATGTGGGACCCTCCTCCAGCGGCAGGGGAGCAGCGGGCGGCAGGAGAGGTCTGCGCGCCATGTGGGACCCTCCTCCAGCGGCTGGGGAGCAGCTGGGGATTGAACCGGCGCTTCAGAGGCTGCGGGCAGCTTCGCAACCCAGCGCTCAACCACTGCGCCACTGGGGAGGCCCAATTTTTTCAGTTTTTAAAAAAGCTAAATAATTGAATAATTCCCTGTGTAATTATGCCTCAGTAAACATTGTTTCATTTAACTTTTTTTGGTTCAGTTTTTAGTTCTTTTTTTGTTCACTTTTTAAAACTAGATTTTGTTTAACATTTTTCAAATTAATTTTACTTTTATTTCAAAATTAATATATTTACATGTTTTCAAAGTAAAAACTATAGAACAAGCTAATGCAGTCAAATAAATTCAACTTTTATACCTGTCCCCTCTGCCTTATCCCTTCCCTTTCCCATAGTTAACTACTAAAAATATCTGTATAGTATATCCTAAAATCTATCATTTTTAAAATAAGCAAATATGTATAATTATCTCCAGTGCCTCTTTTTAATGTAAATGGTTACATAATGTATACATTTCCCTCTATCTTGCTTTTTTAATTAAAAATACATCCTGCAAATCACTGTACTAATATGGATAAAGATATTTTGGCTTTCTTTTTATAGTTGCATATTTATCTGTGACTGTACTGTAATTTATTCAGCCAAACATTTAATCATAGTTAGATTGTTTTTCCTTTCAGTGTTTTAAATCATTATTGCAAATAAGTTTGTAATAAAGAACCAGGTACACATGTCTTTTCTATATTTTTGATAGCATATATTTGGACCCAATTATCTGGCATCCTGTATTTTAAACAAGAAAATAAGATTGTCATGCATATTAAAGTTGACATACAAAGCAAGCCCTAACACATTCTTGTGCCTGGACACTATTCTTTGAGGACACAGATAAGTTTAAGGGCCTAGAAATGAAACATTGTCTGGAATTGATGTTTATCTCATTTGCTTATTTATTCTACATAGTTTTATGAAAACAGGTTTTTTTTTTTTTGTGGGGGGAAAAACTTTGATATACAAGGATGGTCTCATAGATCTCACCATCTCATAACAACTTGTTTGACATAAATATTGTCAAAATGGCAACTGCATTTCTTTATAATTGATTAACTTTTACTTTTTCTGGGGGCAATTGTGTTTTGTGACCTTATTGTTTTGAACCTCATCCTTTTTATAGTCCTGGTCATTTTGTAGTTGATATTAGTTAAAAATGTATAAAAAAGTTTTTGAATACCTTTACTTTTCTAATGAGCATCTTTTATAACTAACTGGGTTTTAAAATACAATTCTAAAACAGATGTGTGGCAGATCATCATTGTGAACTTAAATGTTTTTAATTGAAAAGACATGTTTAAGAACAGTCTGAATACATTGGAGAATTGGATGCATTTTTGTGAATCACAAACAAAATTGTTATTATTTGTATAAAACAGAGGAACTAACACTGAACTTGAGTAAAATTTGATAAATTTGGTACTGTGTTCAGATTGCTTTCAACTCATTGATAACCTTGCCTGTAAAATGAGGGTAAATTTATATCTCACAGAATGATTGCTGGAATAGATAAAAATGGGTGAAAGCACAAGTTAAATAAATCTCGAATTATAGAATATGCGTACTACCTCTGAGTTTCTAAGGCTTTATCCTTCTAGTCTTTTATTTAGTGATCACATTTTTTTTTAAAGATTTATTTATTTATACAAGAACCGGGGTACAGGCCAGGTTCGTGGGAGGGTGAGAGGATTCACCAGAGACAGAGTGGGGAACAGAACAGGCAGACTAACAAAATACACTGCTGAGGGGAGCAGCGGAAGAGACAGGAGAGGTCTGCCGTGCTGTGTGGGACCCTCGCCAGCTGGCTGGGATTGAACCGGTGCTGCAGAGGCTGCAGACTGCTTCACAGCGCGGCGCTCAACCACTTGCACCACCAGGGAAGGCCCTAGTGATGACGTTTTTTAATGATTACATTGTTTTACTTTAATAAAATAAAAATATGGTGAAATAAAGTAATCATAATTGAAGAGGCATTCTTACCTTGGCCACTACAAAATACTAAGTATATTATAATAGACGAATTGCCTAACCTCTCCATGCCTCGGTTACTTTATAAGTAAAATAGAAAACTTGGGAGTATCTGTTACATAGTGTTAAATGAAATAATGTGTGCAAAACACTTAGAAAAGTGCCTAGTACCTGAAAAGTCATTTTTTTCTCATTGTTGGTATCCTTCAGTTAGTAAAATAGTCTCTTTTCCTTCTATAGAAAGTCTCTCGGTTTTCCTTTAAATATACTTTTACAGAGTCAAAGAACCATAAAAAGATATAAAACAGTGTATTTTATTCTTGACTTCAAAAGATAAAGTGTAGTGAATGGAGATAGATCTTTCAGATGAATAAATACAGTAAAACGATACCTTAGCTTTGTTTAATCTCTTAAGCATTTTTGACAAAGAAAACACTTATCCCATTGATTCTTGGTAACACTGATTCTTAGGATGCTGACACAGATTTAGTAGACTCTTTCCTTTTGTTTTAAAATAGTCTGAACTCAATTTCCAATGGGAGCTCGTTTTTGTAGTAGTAGTAAACTCATAAAACTGAGAGTAAGCATAAGAACTTGAACAATGATTCTTTGAGTAATGATATAATAATAGAATTATAAAGCTTTTAAATTTATAACAATACCTTAATTTTAAATTCCTCAGTTATAATTTTGGTGGCAAAATGCTGACCTTATTGAAGATCTTATCTATACATTTTACATTATGTTCCATTTTTAAAATGTCTTACCCCTCTAGTTCAGTATATCATTAAGGATATACTGAAATTCCGCTGTCTGCAGTTTTCATCATGGCTACCTAAGGGAAGGTAGAGAATGGTGCCCTGTGTCAATGCTTTTTCTAATCTTTAACTGTCTTTATGTTAGTGATGTTATTTTACCAAGACACTGGTATTTTTGGTTTAAATAATTCTAAAAATTATTTTTCCATGGTATATAATTTTTTAAGGTTTATTTATTTATGCATACAAGAACTGGGGTATATGCAGGAGGTGTGGCGGGTGAGAGGATTCACCAGAGACAGAGTGGGGTACAGAATAGGCTGATCGACTGCAATAACACTGCTTAGGGGAGCAGTGGGTGAGACGAGAGGTCTGCCACGCCATGTGGGTTAAGTTAGCTCCCTCGCTGGGGCTTGAACTCATGCTGCAGTGATTGGCAAGCTTGATAGCACTGAGACTTTAACCTGTGCGCCATTAGGGAGGCCTCATGGTATATAAATTTGAGTCAGAAGGTGACTATACTGAACCAGAATACTGAACCAGAATACTGACCTTGGGATAAATAGAAGATTTAAGGTAGACATACTTTGTCATTAAATTCTCTCTGTTTCCTAGTCAACAGTTTGTTTCTTCCATGCAGATCTAGTTTTTCAGTGTATCTTTTTTAATAATAAAATTTTTTAATAAAATTGAAACATACTTTTCTTTAAAATTTGATGTCAGTAGTCCAGCAGGATTTGTTTTTAAGTATTTTAAATTCTTGTATTTCTGAAGAATATGAACAGAATGGTGATGGCTATCAACAGGGTTATTAATGTCTTGACACATCACTGATGACTAATTTTTTTTTTAGTACATATGTTTTCCTAGGTATGAGTAACCCCTGGGACTGACATCTCAGAAAAATATTGTTTTAAAGATGAAATTGCAAATATTTTTAAGGAATGGTGAGCTTAATGAACAGAAGACTGGGCTTCTGGTCTTCACATGCTGCTTATTAGTCACATTATTTGGACTACCTCTCTGAGCTTGTATGTGTCTGTGTGTGTGCTTAAAAAAAAAAAAACAAAACCTTAACTGGATTGTGGTGAAATGTGAAATAGATGCTAGTAAAATAAAAATTTATAAAGTACTCTTGTAAAATTTATTTTTCTAGGTTTTTAAAGGGTGCAACTATAATGTGGTTAATGAAACTTTAGCTAATAATAAAACAACATGAAATTTGTTATAGGAAGATTGAATACTGATAATGCTTAGTTTTTCATGTATTCTGTTCTGATAATCTGTTATTTACTACTTAGGATTCTGATTCATTTGGGAGCAAAAGTATTCAATTTATTTTTTACTATTTATTGCAGTTGTATATGTATCAGCTATTTCGAAGTTTAGCCTATATCCATTCCTTTGGAATCTGCCATCGGGATATTAAACCACAGAACCTCTTGTTGGATCCTGATACAGCTGTCTTAAAACTCTGTGACTTTGGAAGGTAAGCTAATTCTCTTTTCTTCTCCGTTCCTTTCCCTCTCTCATCTTTCCCTATCTACTCTTTTAAAATATATTCCTTTTATGATGTCAGTTTTAAAATATGGTAGATTTTGTTTAGCGAGTATAAATGAATACAGTTTCTACTTTTGGTAATTTCTGTCAGAAGTATAAATCTGTGTAGTCTTCCATTGAGCAGTTTAAATCCTAGGACTTACTCCCTTAGAAATGCTTCTACATTTGTAAAATAGTACACATATACATGGGTTTTATCACAGCATTTTCTATAAATGTCACAGTAGGAAAATAACCAGATAAATTATGGTACATATACATTTAATGTAATATACACAGCCCATGAAAAAGAAAGAAGCAACTATGAATTGAAAACAAATGATCTCGGGCCTCCCCGGTGGACAGCAGTTGAGCGCTGGGTTGCGAAGCTGCCCGCAGCCTTTGCAGCGCCGGTTCTATCCCCGGCTGCTCCTGGCCACCAGAGGAGGGTCCCACATGGCGCGCAGACCTCTCTTGCCACCCGCTGCTCCCCTCAGCAGTATACCTCGCTCCTTCTGCCTGCTCTGCTCCCTGCTCTGGCTCTGGTGAATTCTCTCACCCTCCCCGCGCTTCTGACTGTATCCAGCGCTTGTATAAATAAATAAATCTTTAAAAAAAAAAAAAAAGAAAAGAAAGAAAACAAATGATCTCTAAGAAATATTAAGTAAAAAGTAAGGCCAAAACTGTATAGTATGTTCCCTTTTATGTTTTAAAAACACAGAGTATAATCTGTGTATACAGATAGATGTTTAGTTTATTTCTGAAATAATACATAATAAGCCCATAAATTGATTGCCCCTAGGAAGGGAAGCTGGAAATACACTAAAAGTAGCTTGGGAAACTTTCTTTTTTATTGCTTGTACTTTTGTATTGTTTGAATTTTTGTTATGTATCATATATTCCTTACTTAATACAACTAATTTTAAGAAAAGAATGACTGTTTCGTACTGCTATGTGTCTTTTTTTTAACTTCATAGTTAACTTCAACTTAGAAGAAGGTAAAAGATCCAGCAGCAGTATTTTCTTCCTTTCTTCTGTAATGTAGTCTCTTATTCTCCCTTGTTTTCTGAAAATTCCAGCATCCTTTGTTTTCTTAAACTGATTCCTTGGCAATATATTGTGTAATAAGACTTCATTCTTTTCATTTCCTTAGTATTCAATATCTTGTATTTCTCTGATCTAATCTGTTAACATGAAATCAAGTTAAGATCCCTATTAACTAAGGCAAATAACCTACTTCCTCTCTGGTATAATTCCCTTATAGAAATTTCTCTTCTCTCATTTTCTAAGACACCTCAATATACCTTGCATTCTCTCCAGGTTTGTGGGTTTTTTTGTTTGTTTGTTTTGTTTTGTTTTTTTCATTAAACAAGCACTTCTTTTCCATCATGAGTTAATTCTTACTTAGACCATCTCCTTTGTATAGTTTCTTAGCACTTACCACAGGACCCAACTCATTTTGCAGATATAGATGTCCCTTCAACCTTCAGGAAGGGTGAAGGATATTAAATTAAAACTCTTTGAAGTTGATGTTTGTAACAAAGTACCACTATTTAACTGTCTCTAAGACAAACTTTCCAAGTCAGATGAGTTTTATTGTTATGGGTTGTCTTAGCCACTGAGTGACTGACTGGTATGTTCTATAAAAAGACTATGAGACATCATGTTTAGTAGAGTTTCTGTTCTCACCGTGATATCAAATGCTGTTGCTGTGGACCATTCTACTGAGATACAGAGATTGCTTTGTTCTAGTAAGTTTGGAATACTTTACTTTTCTGGTCATAGCTCACTTATATAAACCTGATAACAAAGCTGCTGTTTTTGTTTTTAACTGTTATTTTGGGCAAGCAGAGTTTGAGATACATTTTAGACTCTTAGTATCAGGTTAGTGATGACCTGAACAAAATAGTGTACCTTTCTTGTTATACTTGTTAGTGGATGAAATATGGGGTCTGGAAGTAAGTGAAGGGCTACTTGGGTTTCCTGGACTGTAAATAAATAGTGTTGAACATCCTCACTTTCAATAGGCAGGGAGTTGCAGATAATCTCACCTGAAGAGAAAGAAGGTAGTTCTATCAAGTAGTGAAAAGTAAAAAATTATGGGTTGTAAAGTTTGCAATATTCTTTTATCTTATAGTGAAGTTTCTGACTATAACTGGGATTTATCTTGTTAATTAAAAAAAACCCTTTAAAAGGTAGAAAGGTTTGATCATTTTAGGCTGAAAAGGTGTCTTAATTTTCATGCAGTCTAAAAATGAATGAATATTCATTTAAGGTAGTACATGGGGAGAATGTTAAAAAAATAAATTGGTCTTCCACTTTCAAAACTTGTGATGAAGGAAGAAAAGGTTAGGATAAGAATTATCATGGATCAGACATAAATGAAAGAAAGCCCAGCCTTTAAAACTCTTGTGAATACTTTTTAATCTGTCTGTGTTTTTCTTGTTGCTTACTTAGTTTTGATTTTTTTTTGCATTTATTTCCTGAATTTATCTTTGCTCTTATTGTACATCAAAGTGGCTAGCAACTTGATCAGTTTATTTCAGTTTGTGTTTCAAGTATTTGAAAGTCATCGCAAAACAAACTAATTTTAATTTTACTTTACTTTTCAAAATGCATGCCACAGAGTATTTTGAAAGGTATCTTGGATTAAGAGAACATTTAAATTCAGGACAGCAAAGTTAGAATTCATAGGGTGTGAATCATCTCTACTCTAAAGGAGAGTGCTTTTTTATTGGTAATGAATTTTTAGACAGCCAGTAAATTAACCAAGATGGTAAAAAATATTCATTGGTTCTGCAAACCTTGGGATAGTCACTCTGAGTCAAAAGTATAATTTTAAAAGTGGGCAATTTCTTATCCTCAAAAGATGTATATTTTCAAGTACTTATTCTTATAATTAATTACTATGGTGGGGGAGGTACTGCTTACTTTTCTGCTCTTCTTGATATTTAGAGATAGAATTCAGGAGACAGAGAAACAGATGAAATAAAGAATTTATCCTTATGACTTTTTCTTTCTCTTTTTCCTTAGGTGACTGTTAAGAATGCATTCTTTAAAATTTACTATTCTTTTTCAGAGTAATGTGCTAATGTTACAACTTAATTTTGTTAAAGATAGTTATGGTTCACATATTCTTTTTTGTATATTGTTGGAATTTTTTTGAATCTTAGACAAACATTCAGTGTTACAAATAACAGTTCATATTCTTTCAAGGTTTAGATTTAAAGAATTTCTGCTTTTTATCTTTTTTATTAGCGCAAAGCAGCTGGTCCGAGGAGAACCCAATGTTTCGTATATCTGTTCTCGGTACTATAGGGCACCAGAGTTGATCTTTGGAGCCACTGATTATACCTCTAGTATAGGTAAGTACTGAATCTGAATATACAACTTATAATTATAACTTATATCTTGCTTTTAATAATTTATTATTGCTCATCTGTACTTTCATTTAAATGTGAATGTGCCCTAAAATATGTTCTTTCTCAAAGATATGCAAAAGAAGTGTAGAATTTCTAAAATTTGAACTTTAAGAATTTAAGGTGTATTTGCTACTCTACTTGGTCTATCAGAGAGAATAATAGTTATTCATTTATTACTATATGATCCGTTTGCTTTTAGCTTTAAAATTTCAAATAAATCCTTCAGTTACATTTACTTTCCTTTTTTTTTTAAATTCCACTGAAATACCATTTCTGAGCTTGCTCACTACTCACCAGTTAGAGAGTTTGCATCCCTTAAGTTGATGATGAAATTTAGGATGGTCATATTTTGGTATTCCTACTGTGCTTTCATTTGCTTATTTAATTTTAGTTAACTCAAAATTTATTTTTTTGAATATTTTTCCATTAATATTTTGGTTAAATACACATGAAAGGTTTTTAGTGATGAAAAAAATTGAATAGAGAGAATCTGTTTCAGTCTCCATTGACCTCCTTTTCTACTCCATTTATTCCATTAGTGGGAGTGAACATAGCATAATCAGCAGAACATGAATATGAAGCTAAGAAAGGAGGAGCAGCCTTAGACTAGGTGTGCAAGTGGAAGTCAGAATTATTTTATTGTCATAAGTTGTTATTGAGGAGAATGCTTTAGTCTAAAACTAGAAACAAAAGCATGCAAATATAAAGGAAACAAAAAACCACAGTAATAGAAAACTAAGAAAAGCTAGGATGCAGATAGCTTTTGTCTTGATACAGGTAGAAATTCTCTGATTTGCACAAAGACATCGCAACAGAAACACGTTGCCGAAAGGCATATAGGGCATTTTGTACGAAGGGGCCAGCAGTTTAGCTGCCATTTCTTGTGCACCATCAGCAAAAAATGTCAATACATTGAAAAAGACAGTTAACATCTTAGTGTTCTTATGAAAATAGCTTTACCCGTCAGGAACTCTGAAAAGTTCTGGGGCCTATAATTCTGCAAAGCATACTTTTTGATACCTGCTGCCCCAGATAATAGAGAGTATAATGTTGGGAGCGTGGGGAGAGGAGGAGTGGATGGTGTGTGTCTGTATGCGCATGAGCAAAACAATTGTATAGCATATGTTAGGGGACAAATAGGAAATCATGAAAAGGACATTTTGCTTGGAATAGAACTGGATATAAATTCTAGATTTATTATAATTTAGCTAAGCTGTAAATTGGATATTACTAACAATTTTGCCTGCCTTTATGAGTGATAGTGAGGATTAAATAAATTGTCAGTGAAGGTGCCAAAAAATAGCATAATATTATTTTTTGGTATTTGTTAACTTGCATATCCTCAAGAGCAAGTGTCAGCTCTTTATTGTTGGAGATGTCATTGGATTTTCCAGCTGCTTTATATTTTATTTACAGGTATGATTCTGGTAATTTGCATCCAGATACTGGAATGAGTCATGACGGAATTACCTAAAATTGATGCTGTTTGCTTTTTAAAAAATATGACCAGATTATCTGATTATGATCTGACAATGAAAACATGTTGACCTTTGACCTTGTTGAGAGACTATTACTTCCATAAATATGCTTGTGACTACCAGTTCTTTGGAATCTTCTCACAAAAGAAGGGCAATATCATTTGTTTTCTCTAGTAGAAACCAGTTCACAGATGGCTAAACCCAGATTCTGATTTGGCTAAACCCAGATTCTGATTTTACAGATTTAGGGGTTACTATATAATACAGATTCAACTTGGGTGTTATGAACCCTGAAAGGCCTAGCTTTGGTCTCCCTTGTGTTTAGATTTAGGATACTTACCTCTTAAGACTATGGAAGATTTGTAAATGGACAACAAAGGTCTTAGAAGTATGCTAATACTGGGTATATTTTAGAAGTATTATTAACAATGGTGTTTTCTTGAAGTGATAACAAAGCTAGTACTGGCTAGATTATTGTCATATTTAAATCTAGTCAGAGCAAAGGCCAAGACTAATTACATTCTCTTGATGAGAAATGGGAGATTAAGAACAAATGGCTTCTTTAAGATAAGGAATTGATTCGACAGACCCTTGAAGAAATCTCACTGACAGTGAGACACTTAATTCAAGACAATGGTTTCTTGATTGGGAATTAAACTTGGGTCCCAGGTCCAGCTGTTATTCAGTAATTTTATCTTAAACAAACCATTGAGCTTTATTGTGCCTTAATTTCCTTACCTGTGAAGTATCTTAAACTACATGGTGTTGAAAGATCACTTTTGCCACAAATTAAGTTAAGTGTATAACAGAATGCTGTTTTGGCTCAACCCCCAAATAACCAGAAAATTCAATGAGCCAAAGCACATGTTTTTTTTGGTGTGCCTTCTGTTTACTTCTGTTTTGTCCTGTTTGGAGAATTGATTCCATTTGTCCTGTAAAGTAAGAACAGAAGAGGTTTGGTGCCACCCAGAAAGTGAAAGACATTTTAGTAATTTGTAATGAGTTAGTAATTTGCCTGAGTTTACTGTGAATTGAAGATCACAGTATGGATGCCACCTGATTCTTTTGATTATTAATCTACTGTGGCAACTACTAAGCAATAGTTTTCCTTATATTTTACTCCTTATCTCCTATATCAGTAACTAATCTTGCATGAGAAAGTGTTCCCTGTGGGGTCCTTTTTAATAAAAGTATTAATATTCACCTGCCATTTTTCTAGGCGTGTCTCCTTCGGTGAATTATTCTTCATTTTAGGGGAAAGATGTAAATGCCTATTACCTTCCATCTTATTAGCCTAGGTATAGGGATATTTTTTAGCCTAGATCAAAATGAAGCATTTACATTAACGAGAAATAGTTTTTCCATCTGATTTTAAGAGTATTGCTGTTGGCTTTGATGTGAAGTAAAGATTTCCCAGCAGGTTTTCATGTTTTCTTTTTAAAGCGATTTCCTGATATATCAAGGAGGATTCTCTTAGTCTCTGTTTGCAAAATAGGTGTCTTTGCTATCATTGCTTGGGACTGGACAGTATCAACTTGAATTTATTAAATAAATATTTTATCATTTTTCTAGGTCAGTAAGATATAGACACTGGAGCAGGGATTTCCATTCCCTCTTGACTTAAGTTCATCTCCCTAGAACACTTGATTGCTAGGTCATATAAAACTCAGTAATCTGGGGCAGCTGAAAACTGAAAATTAGCTTCTCCTTGTAGGAAGTTTTAATAGTGGGCTGTGAGTAGAGTGACCATATAATTTATCCTCTCATTTGGTGATAATTTTAAGAAGGAAAGGCGATACTACTAGTAACCATGCCAGGACAGTAGATCTAAACTAGGACTATCTTGGGTAAGCCAGAATGTATACTTTAAATTATTTTTTAATTTATTAATTAAATTTACAAATTAATAAAAGTTACTAAATTGTTTTTAGAACTTTTCTGTAAGCACCGAGATTCCCACTTGGAATTAAAAGTGAATTACTTCTAATTTGTGAAATCTCTCTTTGCACTTAACGATGATAATATATTTAAGTGCATTTTTCTGTCAGTCATGTTACAACATAAAAGTCAGCCATTTAAAATCTCAAAATTTTTTTCTCAAAATTTTCATTGACTTAAAACCCTGTTTCTAGGAGATTGAAGCCTTGCTTGCCGTTACTCTGTAAGCACTTAGTAATGTGCAGATGTGGTGTCACTTTGACACATTTTTAATTAGGATAAATAATCATGTCCTATGTTTTGGTACGATAGCCTTGTCTTGATTGTTGAAGACTTGAATACCTGATATTTGATATTAAATAGACTTTGCCTTTTATTGAAATAATTTCATTGACCTTGTTTAAAAATTTTAAAATGCACTAATTTTTATGGCTTTTTCTCTCTGTTCTGGAATATATGATCTTTAGCTTGTGATAATATCTGTCTGAGCAAAGTAAAATTAGAAATGAATATAAACATTTTTCCATACAGCTTATCCACAAGATCTTCATTTTACTTTATCTTTAGATGTATGGTCTGCAGGCTGTGTGTTGGCTGAGCTGTTGCTAGGACAACCAATATTTCCAGGGGACAGTGGTGTGGATCAATTGGTGGAAATTATCAAGGTGAGAACATTGCATTTTTTAACTAGAAGGAATTTTGCTATTTTGAGACTCCATATCACACGAATACCAGTAAACAACTTAAAAAATGAAGAAAATGATCCAAGATAATATAGCAAGCTGAAGCATAGACAAAGTATGACAGCATGGTCTTTTGGTTTCTGCTGAGTTATTTTTCTGTTGTATCATCCAGGAAAAGGTGTTTTGGATATGTGAGTCAGGAAAAGTATATATCTGTTGTTTAAAATATTTAAATGTTTAAGATCACTAGAACATATAAAATGAATAAAAGCAGAAGCTATGTTTATTTTTGCTTACCATTTTGTTTCTCATACTCTGCTGTATACATTGGAGATGCTTGTATTCATTCAATATATAAATATTTACAAAATGAAAAAAATGAGTATTTGCGTATAAGAGTAGACACTGATATAAATAGAATTTTGACTCCCATTTCAATGTATTTCATCAACACCTTTATTAGCAATACCATATTAAAAATATTGTTATCTTGGAATATTGTTTTTTTAAGAACATGTAGGGCTGAGATTTTGAGTTTTTAGCATTTGAGATCTTAAAGAAATTTTCCTCTTACCTCTTCCTAAAAAGTCTGGTAGGTATATATTTAGACAACAAGATTGTTCATTCTAAGGTTATACTTAGGCTAAAGCAACAATCCCTACTGTCTTTTGCACTTTATTCCTGATTTTTCAAATATTTCATGGGTAGTTTTGAAAATCTCCTTAGAGGTCATTTCACTCATTCCATCATCCAATGAAAGAATCTTCTTAGTTTCCTGACAGTTTTTCAGAATACTTGAAGCATCAGATTGCTACTTTGGGATGAAGGCTGTTTCTATACCATGGCAACTTAGTTTTTATTGTGCTGCACCAAACATACCTCCTTGATGGTTTTTACCATTTGTACACATGACTATGACTAAGTTATTTTAAAATCCTTGCCTTCTGTAATAAAAATGTTAACTTTGATAAGTGGTTTTGCTGGATAGCTGTATTTTCAAAAATGATTGAAAGGAGCTGTGTGATCAAGAATCCTCACTATTCATGTAATTTCTTAGATTTTTGTCTCTGAGATCACTGGGGTTTGCTGTATTTTATTGGTAACCATCTTACGGTTTCAAGTCAAACCTTTAACTTTTGCTCAGCAAACTTACTTGTTTGCTGATCTCTACACTGCACAGTAATCTAAGTTAAAATAGTTTGATTTCTTGTTTCCTAAAAGCCTATGTATTCCCCAATATCCAAATTAATGTTTTGATACAGGGATTGGCAAACTTTTTCCTGTTAAGAACTACATAAAATAATTTAGGTATTGTGGGCAAAAACATAAATCAAGCTATACAAGAAAAGTGAAAACAAATTTTCATTGATTACAGTAGAGCACAACATTTTTGTAATACAGGTCTACTAATTAGAAAAGTAGAGTTCTTTTGGGGGTGGGCTACAATGGTTTTCTTAGTTGGGGTTCAAAGTTAGTGTTCCCTTTCATTAAATTGATTGAACTGATTATAAAATCATTTCTTAGTTCATGGTCCCTACAAAAACAGATCGGGTCTTAGCTTGCTGACTCCTGCTTTCTTATAACCTATTCAGCATTTCTTCTGTCCTCACACTTTTCACTTGCTTTACTTGAGCTTGCCATACTACAATTCTTTGGATATATTGCTATTCTGTTTGTCATATAGATTTAGCTTATTGGAATTGTCTTTTTTTTTTCTGATTATAGTTTAGAATTTTGTGATGATTTTTATCATTAACTCATACATGATGTAAATGAAATTGTTCAGGGATTAGGGGATATCTGTGATAATAAGCCATCACAGCTTAAAAACTTCAGAACTTTTCCCAGCACTCTTTGTAATTCAATTTTCTGCTAATAAAGGTTTGTACATATTTAATAGATTTTAGTAGAAACTGTCGGTTTAACTAAAGACTTCATCTAGTGCTTATTTATTGTAAGTTGGTCCATGATCAATTGGTAGAAGTAAGCCAACTCTGAAGCAAAATAATCTCTTTCATGTGTTACTGTCTTGAAGTTAAACATAAGGAACAGTCTTCACCCAACTGTAGGGTCTAAGATTATTGTCTATAGATGTGAAGGTGATATGAGATTATGGAATTAGCATCGTAGAGCACTTTAAGTTCCTTTTATGGTCTTAAGCATGATTGCCAAGGATAAATGAAATATCAGTACTGGTTTACTACCTGTTTAGTGACTTGAAGTTATACATTACATTGAGGTTAACAGACATTGTATTGTGGAATATGAGAGAGAGAAAGGTAGTTAGTTTATAGCTCTATTTCTTGTTGATTCTATATATCTATTCCTTGAATTTGAATATATGATATGTCATTGAAATAAAAATTCATAACTAATTTTGAAGTAACTATTCCAGTTCTGTGATCTAAATTGTAAGTCAGCAAAGAGAAGTTGTATAGGTTAGCTTTCAAGTTAAATGCTATTAAGACATATATATTTTGAACAAGTAATGTCATTTCTGCTAACCAGGGTTTCAGGAATAGATTTGGATTGTGAAAGGTGGTCTCATAGGTGCCCAATTCAATAATTTATTTTGAGGTGATAGTCATAAATCCTTAATCCATGTTAGTCTGTTCTTTCCTGTTCTTTTTCTGCTTTCTCTCTTGAAAATTTCATGGGGATTCCTCTGGAGTATCTTGGCGTAGCAAATCCTCCAGTTAAATAGGTATCTCCCCTCTGAATTTGAATTTATGTAAAAAATGAACAATTATCCAACACAGTTCATGAATTTTATACGTGGTAGACACATAATTATATTATTTTATAAACTTTCTAAGCAGGGATTTTATTGTTGTATTTTAATATCCTAGGTCACCCAAATAGTTTTTAGTAAAATTGGAAAGTGAATTAAGCTTCTAGACCATTATTCATTCATGAATTTGGAATTACCCTGAAATTAATAAGTTAGTGACTATTGTAAATATTGTTTATTAAATTTTACTGACCCAGATTTCCACACCAGTAATTTACAACATGAGTTAGAATTTTATAAACCTAGTTAACTTTTTTCTCATACTAGTTAACCTTTTTCATCCCCTACCCTCCAATGAGAAGCCTTTTGCAAAATATTTAGAATACAATTCAAATACATCATCTTCAGAATAAGTTAAAAATGTAAAGCAGAATGTAATTGAAAGTCATGCAAGAGAATTTTTAAGCATGAAGAACACTTAACTTTTTTAGGTTGATTTCATACATAGGGTTGTCAGAGCAGCATTTCATTATGGCAGTTAACTTTGGAATCAAAAAATGCTTGGATTTTCAAAACATTTGTAAAAAAATATTCTATTAGGTACTTTTCAGATGATAATATTTTTTTCCTTAAATTCTTCCTTACAATACTAGTTACAATAACCCCAAGAAATATCTCGTGGTTTCAGATACCTAGTGAAAAAAGTAAACATTGTGGGGGAATCTCTACCAAGCATAGGTTTAAATAACATAAATTGCCTTTTGGGATTTTTTGTTCTTGGTTTCAAAAATTGTATTAAGCTGAAATCTTTTGCTAGAAGTTAGATAATTTAGAAAGACGATTCTTTTGGGGCCTCCCCGGTGGCGCAGCGGTTGAGCACTGGGTTGTGAAGCTGCCCACAGCCTCTGCAACACCAGTTCGCTCCCCGGCTGCCGAGTCTGCTCCCACATGGCACGCAGACCTCTCCTGCCGCCCGCTGCTCCCCTCAGCAGTGTACTTCGTCAGTCTGCCTGTTCTGTTCCCCGCTCTGGCTCTGGTGAATTCTCTCACCCTCCTGCGCCTCTGACTGTACCCAGTGCTTGTATAAATAAATAAATAAATCTTTAAAAACAAACAAACAAACAAACAAAAAAAACCCCAAAAAACGATTCTTTTGAAGATTTAAAGAAGGTGATAGTTTTTTTTAAATGATGATTACTTTTTATATAATTATATATACTATGATTTTATATGCTCATTGCAGAAGACAGAAAACATAGACGTGCAGACATTCAAGTTCTGGCATATGAAAAACAAATTTTACAAATATTTTGACATACTTTTCTATGAGTCTATATATTTAAACAAAAATGCCATCTGTTTTGTAGACTTTTTTTTAACTAATATTGCTCATGTAAAGAAGTATTTTGACTAAGTGATCTCATTCATATTTCATCTTTACTGCATTGATTTTGAATTACATAATTGATTCAGAGAAGAATAATATTAAGGTAAAGTGATAAATCACTGCCATTGAAAAGAAATTATATATTTGGCTTCTCAAAGATTTGATCATTAACTTTCTTATATAAATAACAAATGTACCCCAGAATCCCCAAATGAATTAAATTTGATGCAGTTGAGAAAGTTCTGAATCTGGGAATGCTGTAAGTTTTACTAGTAGTTTCTTTTCCCCCCTTTCCAAATTTTAAAATACAAATTTCATGTAAGGAAAGATGAGCTTCAGCCCAGTGTTCAATTTTTGTTTTAAATTATCACAAAACTAAAAGTTTGAAAGAAACCAACTATTTTCTGAAATTGCAAGTTTTGCATGTATTTCTAAAGATATACTTTCATTCATTTCATAAGTATTTACTTAGGTTTAGTAATAATTTGAGCATTGTTATCTAATAGAATAGTTTTAGGGCAGAATTAGTCAGAATCCCATCTCTTGATGATAGAATTTCATCATTATAGCTTCCATAGTTTTAGTAACGTAAAAAATGGGTATCTGTCTTTTAGAAAAACATATTAGACTTGTAGCTACTTAAATTCTTTGCAATAATAAAGTTGTTATAAGGCAATTAATGTTAATTTCTCTTGTAAAACAATATTACTAAACTATTGTTTAATTTTCACTTAGTATCATTCTATTTAAATATCTATAGATAGCTCTGTCACAGGTATGAGCTCATAAAATTTAATCTTTTGCAGAAACTAAGAAATTTGAAGTTGAAAACAATAAAATCCCAATGATCATTTGGTCATGTTA